CTTTGAAAGGTAAGTCTCAGTTTAGAAATTAGTGAATGAAAGGTATCATGGTTTTAATTACTTTTAAAAAGAACCTAATCCATCTCCTTTGAAAACTCTAAATTAGATTAGATTTTGGGGGAGAAACAAAAGCAGAGGGGAGTTGCCAGTGAAGTGTTTTGAAGCCAAATGTTAAGTTAGCAATCCTTTTATGGAATAAAGGAAACTAAGAAAAACAGCAGCTGCCATTTCAGCTCAATAACTCCAGTACCTCCTAGTGAAATCATTTTAAGACTGCTGAGTAGAAATAGTTTAAAGGTCTATTGTAAAAGAAACAAGAATTTTATTCATTAATTAGACTCGTCAGAGACTGCTTTGAATTTGCAAAACTGAATAACCTTTTATTCCATGGTTATAGTTAAATCCTTAAGCTCATTTGATTTCCTTTGTCCCATTTGATTTCACTTTAAGATTTCACCTTTGCAAATGCATTATAGTCCAATCCCTTAATGTTTTCATTGCCCTCTCACTTTAGTAAAAAGGCAACAGACTAACTCTTCATAAAATTAAAATACGATGGTGGGAATATAAATTGCAGAAATGAAGTCTCCTGATAATGCACAAGTAATAGAATGGGGAACATTTTTGTTTATGTGTTTTCTCAACTGCAGATAGCTAATGGAGACTTTTCTTTTTTTAAAATTTTAATAGTGACATTTTTATGCTGTAAAACATTAGGCTTGTACAGAGATTACTTTCAGTTTTGTTACTTTTCAGTTGAGGTTTATTCTAATGCAGAATTCATGCCAGTATTTTGGATGTTGCTGTCTAGCAGGTATGAGACATTAATTTATACTTCATTAATTTAGAATTTCTGAAAATTTGAGTCTAGAATGATTTTTTTTAACAGTGAAAAACAGGGTATGCTAAACAAATAGTGGAAAAAGTATATATACTCAGTATGTATATCCTAAGGAAAGTATACATTTTTAGAAATCAGCAGGTTTCAAAATTTTAAGAATAGTTGAAAATGTTCAAAGCATTATTTTTCAATAACTTTATGTCATGGTTACAACTTACTAATTATGTCATTTATCTTCCTAGGAAATATTTGGTTGTTCTAGAGCTTAACATACTTCACATTATTATGGTTTCTTAAAAATACTTTAAAAAATGTTTTCAATGTAATATATTAGAATTTCAATCAAACCGTACAATGAACAAACAGAGATCTATTGCTCCAATCTCCCTATCCAAGATACTCAATCACCAAGGGCAAGAACAGTAAACCTCTAAGCTGTTTCTACCGGTATTTGTGTCTAAATAGTATTCTGATATTTGTTTCTTGATTTTCCCCCTTGGACTATATGTTTATATTAATGTCCCACAGTGAAATTTCTTTTAACTATCAGCTGATACATATAAAAACATGCTTCCTCTCTCTCCATTATCCTAAAAGGGTTTTATTATAATTTTTGGTTAAAATATTATTCAATGTTCATATTATTATGAGTATATAAATTTACTTTTGTCTGAGCTTAGTATTATACTTTGAATACAGTTGGTTTCTTGAGCAACTGTTTTTATTGTAGTTTATAACTTGTTTTATCATGTGTTTAATTTGCACATACTTATCACTCCAACATGCCAGAAACACCATAAATCCTGTCTGTACAAACACTTCATGTAATCTTCTGAGTTCTTCCCCCTCCCGCTTTTTTTAAGCCAGCTTCTGCAACAGCTTATCTCTAGGGCAGCTACATGGCTGCTAACCCCCAGACTTCCTTTCACCCGCATCCCAGACATTCCTTTTGCTTATCCTCTTTCTGTTATGTTTTAATTTTAGATAAACATTTCCTACAGAAACTTATGAGAAAGGAATTATGGGCATTACATTTTTGAGATTCTACAATTATGAAAAACATTATTGAACATGGCATTTGACTGAAGATGGAATTCTGGTTTAGAAATTAGTATTTTTCCAAATGTTGAAGTTATGTTTTCTAGTTTCTAGTGTTACTCTTGAAAAATCTTATTATATTCTGATTCTAAATCTAGATTTGTGTAATGTGAACTGTTGTGCTTGTTAATCTCTTCAGAAGATTTTGTGATTATCTCTTTATCTTTGGTATTTCAAAATTTCAAAATGGTACAACCTGTGTGCCACTCCCCATAAAAACACAAAACAAACAAAAAAATACATTACACTGGGTTGCGTACTTGGCAGGCCTTTCTACATCCTGAAAGATAAATATATTTCAGTCTTTGAAAATATTTTGATATTATTTCTTTGATGATTTTAGAAATCATCAAAGAAATACCTTGTTGTATTTCTTTCTTAAAATTTAAATCACTGCTCTAATTGTAATACCTTTTATTGTCTGTTTTCCATATCTTTGTGATTTTTCTGCTTTCTAAAATGTATTCTTTACTGGACCATCCAACCCTTCTGTGGATATTTTTATGTCTTTTATTATATGCAGTAATTTCCAAGAGTTATTTCTTTTACTCTGAGTTTCCTTTTTTAATCATCTCAGTGTGCTCTTATGGATGCATTATCTTCTATTATGTCTCTGGAAAAATTAATATTTTTTGAATTATTATCCTTCTATGTATTTTTCTTTTTTATCCAATATCTTATTTTCTATGTATTGATTTTGTTCACTATTTTTCATTTAGAGGATTGGTTTATATGTGGTTCTCATTGACCATGCATTCAGTTTTCAGTGTTGAGCAAAATGTTGATTTACTCCTCAGAATAAAAGTTGATTGGATGCTTAGTGGGCATGAGTCAGCTTGCAAATGGCTAGTATACCTCACAGTAAGGAGAGTCACTTAATTGAGTATTTTTAAGTATAAATGTTTAGGGTCCATTTATCCTGGTCTAATGTTCATAGAGCAGAATTTTCTAATCTCCTGCAGGTGAGCATATGAAATTTGCTGGGGAGTTCCACTTTCGATGATGTAGACTTTCATATTAAACCTATTGTTTTTATTTGGTTCCCTTATTTCTCTCTACTCCTGTCAGCTGTGTCTAGTGACCCAAGATAAAACTCTCTTTTGCCTAACATCTGCATAAAGTTAATGTGTGTTGAGGAGAGAGGAGTACTCTAAGGATTGGTAGGAAAGTTAAAAGTTTTTTTAGAGAAGTCATCTTTCCTGTCATTCAACAAACCTATCTTCAGTCTTATCCCACAAACGTTAGTAGTTATTTACAAGTCACTAGTGTTTCTCATTTCTGAGTAATTCAGTGGTTTGCAAGGAGGGGCTTGGCTTGCTTCCTTTGGTTTTTCTCTTGAGGGAGCTTTGGCAACGGCTTTCTTTATCGTATAAGTTACCATGTATCCATCTACTTTTCTTTTACCAATTTTTTTTGACACCTCTCATCTACTGTAGTTTCTTCTCCCTTTCTTGTGTTTTTGTATGTTTTGCATTCATTCACTTGTCACATGAATGCAATTGAGAAAAAAATCCATGCTCAATCAGAACTCAATGCAACTTCAATTTTGTAAAATTATTCTGTAATTTGATAATTTTTAAATTTTATTTTAGTAACTTCGTCTTAACGACACTTTGCATTAGCTGAGATAGCAAAATGTTCTTGTGAGGAAATTGTTACTTGCTAGCTATGGAATTAAAATCTGGTCTGCCCACCACTAGGAGAAAATTGATTTGAAAATGAATATATATATATATATATATATATATATATATATATATATATATACTGATTGAATTCTTCAGTCAATAAAGAAATATTCCTAGAACAGGCCAGAGTGTTTAACTGATTTTCTGTAATACTCAATTCCAAATACAAACAACAATGTTAATGAATGAGACAGCCTATCAGTAGTAGTAATGCAATCTATGTTTAGCTTATTCCTAGAATAATTGCTACTGTTATTGTCCATGAGTTTTAGACATCACTATTGATAATTGCTAATAAAATATTAATAAAATTGACCAATATCATAAAATATCTTACCCAAATATATAAGATTCAGTGAGCATATTGATATGTACTATTAAATTGCTGTAACTGATGAAGAGATAAAAAGAATAAATTATTGAAAAGGGGGTAAATTCAAGGAGGAAATGAATTCAAAAGTTATTTGGTGATAGTGTTTTTGGCTATTTTCTATTACAAAGGAAAGATAAAACATCTAGTTTAATGTTGTTTTTGAATTAGTGGCTAGATACTGGCATTGATAATTGAGATATGAAATATAGGAAAAAGAGAAGTTTAGGTGAGAAATGTTGGATTTGGTTTCAGACAGGTTAAGCTTGAGGTTCTTTTAAAATATTAAACAGCAGCCTGTAATAGAGTACTGCAGCTCATCAGAGATGTCTGGGTCAAATATGTAGAATTGATCGGATTAGCTTAGCTACACAGAACAGAAATATTCCCATATCACAAGTGTTTAAGCAAAATAAAAATTTATTTCACTCTAGTAGAAGAGCCTGTGGAGGGAACTTAGGCTAACTTGACCTCAACAAAGTTATCCAGGCTTTTTCCAGATGTCCACTCTGCCATCCCAAGGGTTGGCCCTCCTTCTATGAGATACAAAATTTTGCATGTATGTACATCACTATGGTGTCCCCACTAGCTAAAGGGAATAAAGGAAGAAGACATGACCCTTCTCTTTTAAAGACACTTAGTCAACCTCCAACACCATTCTGTTTACATCTCTTTGGCCAGAATTTAGTTGTATCTCAAGAGACTACAAAGAAGTCCTGGGAATAGAGTCTTTTAATCTGTATGGTAACTTGACAGGCTAAAAACCAGCTTTCTGTATTTTTATAAAAATAAGAGAATAGAGGAAAGAGTATGTACCTGACAGTTATGAATTAAATTACTGGCACATAGATTGCATTTGAAATGTAGCTGTATATGAACCGGAGTAAGTATCTTAAAAATCTTTTTTTTTTTTCAAGTTTGACTTGCTTTTTAATATATTTATAGATATAAAATTAGGCCTTTAACAGTGATAAGTATCTTAAAAATCTTATTTTTAAATCAGATTTTTGCAGTTTGCACAATGAATGCAAATGATGAACTAAAGAGAAGTTGAGACAAACCCTGCAAGAAACTTGAAAGTAAATGAGAGACAGGACAGTATCTCAGAAATTTAGGGTTTGTGAGAGAGTAAAGTAAAATCAGAAGGAGGTAAGTCAAAAAATGGAGGGCATGATGAGGCTGATGACCAAGTCAAATTTTTAAATGATGCTGTATAGTGATTCTCTACCTAATGAATGTATGTGCACTAATCCTTTACTTTAGGTATTATCATCTTTTTTATAGAAGTGCGAAAATGTAGGCCTGAAAAGTTAAATCACTTAAATTGAGACACAGAACTGTGAATTTAACCAATGCCCCAATCTCAACTCATAATCTCAATCTATCCCACTATTTCTTAATTAGGAGGTGTCTTAACTCTTAAGCATAATTAATTTACTTTTTTTTCTTTAAATTAGGAAGTTAAAGACCTCAGTGAAGGTGAGATGGTGTTACAATGAACAATGTAAGTGTGCTCTCAGTGGAACAAACTTTTTAATGTTGACAAATTTCAAAACAGTTTATTTAGGAAATTGGACCAGGTGCTGAAGGTGCACATTCTAATTACATTTCCAAAGTGAGCAAAGCTTATCACTATATATTTTTTTCAGTGACAGAATTTTTTATATATATAAAAACATAACTAACTTTCCTCCAAATAACCCCCAAACAAACAAAAAACTAGATTAAATAAAATTCACAGTGAGTATACCCAACCAACATCTGTGTGTGCAACTAAACACTGTCTTTTACAGAAGTGTGAACCTCATACAATATAGAAGTGTTCTGGGGAGTTGAAGAAGCCCAAGTTTTAACTGTGCAGTGTTTAGGGAGAGAAGATGGAGGAAGTAAGAGAAAGGGGAAATACATTTTATTTTTCTTAATTTTGTCCTACTAATATATTCATAAAGTCCAAAAAAGAAAAGGGAGCTTGGGATGGTAAAGAAATAGAGGAATAAGGAGTGAGGGACCCTTGTCATTGGATTTAGGACCCACTGGGACCCCTGGGTGATTTAGGATCCCCCAGGATGATCATGCCTGGAGATCCTTATCTTAATTACATCTGCAGAAACTCTTCTTCTAAATAAGATTGCATTCTGAAGTTACAGGTGGACCTACCTGTTGAGGGCCACTATCCAGCTCACTAAAATGACCATGATCAAAATTTTTAAAACATGTTTTTAAATTGTGAAATATAACAAACAGAAAAATATATAATACATAATATATAATTAAAATTATGAAGTGATCACCTGTGTACCTACTACCCATATCAAGACAGAACATTCCCAGAACTCTAAAATACAGTTTCCTTTAAGGATCACCTCATCACCTCATTTCTGTTCACTGGAATTATTATGACTTTATGGGAATTACTTTCTTGCTTTTCTTTAAAATCTTACTACTCATATTTTAAAATAAGACAGTTTTACATATTTTTCAATTTTAAACAGATGAAATACTATTGTGTGTTTTACTTTGTGTTATGCTTCTTTTAATTAATATGATATATATAAGAACCATATATCATTGAGGGTGGCTGTAGCAAATTTATTTTCTTTACAACTTAGCTAAACATTTTATATTTGTTGCATAAGTTTGTCACATTCTATTTTTGGCTATCACAAACATATTATAAACATTTTTTCATTTATTCTGTTATAGCTGCACAGTTTTATATGAGATGTATGCTCACTAGATGACAGTTTTTCAAAGCAGTTACAGCAGTATACCTTTCATTAGCAGCTTATGTGAATTCCCAATGTTCTTGCATATTTAATAGCTCACAGTATTGGCCGAAATTTTAGTTTTCTGTAATTTCATAGATGTGTGGTTATATTCCATGGCACTCTTTCTTTCTTTCTTTCTTTCTTTCTTTCTTTCTTTCTTTCTTTCTCTCTTTCTCTCTTTCTCTCTTTCTCTCTTTCTCTCTTTCTCTCTCTCTCTCTCTCTCTCTCTCTCTCTCTCTCTCTCTCTCTCTTTCTTTCTTTTTCTTTTCTTTTCTTTCGGCAGGGTTTTGCTGTGTTGCCCATGCTGGTCTTGAACTCCCAAGTAGCTCGGATTACAGATGTACGCTACCATGCCAGGTTTATAGTAATTTTAATTTAAATCTCTCTAATCACCAATAAAATTGGATATATCTTAATAGGCTACTGAATTTATACTTTCATAAACTTTTTGCTGGTTCAACTGTTTTTCCCATTTTTCAATTTGATTGCCTTTTCTTGTTATTTGCCTTTCTTCTTATGGTATGAATCTGGATCGGAGTCCATTTGTTAATCACACATACTATAAATGTTTCCCTTCATGTAGTAGTTGTCTTCACTCTCTTTTTATTGTGTGTTTTTATGAGCAGAAGCTCTTTTTATAATGTAGTCAAATTTATTCATCTTTTATTTATGGTTAGAGTTTTTGGTACTTAAAAAAAATCTTTCTTACCCTTTCTTACCAATGCTTCTAATTTTAATTTTTCTTTTTCTGTGCATCTATCACCAGCTAAACCCTTTGCTGATTGACATATTCTTTTTCCAGAGATGGTAATATATTTAGGTTGTAATCAAGTCTTGCTTAGTGGGAGCAATTCTGTCACTTTAAGATGTGTTGTATAATTCTTGTACATGATTTTCCCAACTTAACTTGGAAGCCAGTCTTAATGTGCTCATTTTCATCTTCTTAGGAGATTTGTTTTGGTGGGCCTTAACTATTCAGTGTGTATGGATAAAAGAGGGTTTCCTTTGAAATTGGTTTGCTCTGATAGTGCTTGTAGATAAAGAATCTCCCAGACTGATTTCAGAGTTGATCATACTTTATATTAGTTAGATATTTGACTACATGAAAAAGTTTACTGTTTATCAAATATTTTACATATGATATTTCAGTGAATTATTTAGTGAAAGCTATAAATACATATAACTATGATAATTTTATTGCAGACTCTCAGACTCATTAAATTACATAATAAAGTGGAAGCTAGGAAGTTAAGTGCTGAAATAGAAACTCAAGTCTGATTTTTTTTCAGTTCTTCCCTTAAATAAAGTTTTAAACTTTGGAGTGACAAATTCACTTATTTTAAATTATATCACCAATTTTAAGATAAATAAAAGAGCCATGCCATTTAAACTATGTCCAGATTTCTCCTTACGAGCATTCTTTCTTTATCCAGATTCATGTAGAGTTATTCACTCCTTTTGAAAGTTATTTCTGTTGTTTTACATGTTAGTTAAATGCAATGTATTTTCTTTCTCTTTGGGAAGTTTGGGATGAGATGTAGGAAGACTTTGTGTGATAAAACCTGCTTGAGCAAATGAATTTTATTTCTTTCTTGTTTGCTTTTTTTTTTGACACAGAGTCTTGCTCTGTTGCCCAGAATGGAGTACACTGGTACAATCTCGGCTCACTGCAACCTCCACCTCCCAGGATCAAGCCATTCTCATGCCTAAGCCTCTCCAGTAGCTGGGGATTACAGGTGTGTAACATCATGCCCATCTAGTTTGTGTATTTTTTTTTTTTTTTTTTTTTTTTTTTTAATATAGAGACTTGCTCTGCCGCCAGGCTGGAGTGCCGTGGCGCAGTCCCAACTCACTGCAACCTCCGCCTCCTGGGTTCAAGTGATTCTTCCGCCTGAGCGTCCCAGGTAGCTGGGACCACAGGCGCGTGCCGCCATGCCCGGCTAATTTGTATGTTTAGTAGAGTCGGGGTTTCATCATGTTGGCCAGGTTGGTCTCAACCTCTTGACCTCGTGATCCACCCGCCTCGGCCTCCCAAAGTGCTGGGATTACAGGCGTGAGCCACCGTGCCCAGCCAATTTTTGTATTTTTAATAGAGGCGGGGATTTGTCATGTTGGTCAAGGTGGTCTCGAATTCCTGACCTCAGGTGATCCGCACCCGCTTGGCCTCCCAAAGTGCTGGAATTACAGGAGTGAGCCACTACATCCAGCCTCTTGTTTGCCTTTTAGAGTGTGTATTAGATGAGTGAAATAAGGGGAGTATGGGCAAGAAAAAGAAAAATTATTCAATTCAGGAAGTTAATTTACTATTTGTCTACAATACCATTTGACTATGGTTGCTTTTTAAAAATAATTCTAGTTAAGCTTATGCAGTTTTAGAAAATATAAATGGCAGTGCTTTAAAATCTTAAAATCAGATTTATTTATTTGTAATGGACAATGTATAACTTTCTGCCTCAGGAGTTATTTTTAAAGAGTAGATTCAGTGATTATGAATTTTTATAGCTCCAGACTAATGATGAAGATACATAGTTATCTGTGAGGTTATGGATGGGATAGGGAAGTAGAAATAGTGGGCATACTGATCTTTTGACCCTATTTGCAAAAAGAGATGAAATATCATAATGAACAGATCAGATTTTAAGCAAAAAATATTTAAAAATGCAATGTCTAGATTAATATAGCAGTTTTGGATAAAAATGTTCACAGTTGTGCAGTTGTGTGATTTTTCTAATCCCCTTTGCCTTGTAGCGTAGGACCATGGACAATTAATCATGTAATTCTTTAAAATTATAGTATTTGTGTAATAATACATTGTAAAGAAAATTTGGGTATTTGAAATAGCATCTAACATGTCAGACTAACATTAATCATGAAGTTGTAAGCCATCATTTACATATGTTTCTATCCATAGTTTATTTTTAGTATTATTTCTCATTTTGAAAAAATTCTGGAGATCCTAGATTTGAAATTCTAGTATAAATACACTTCTTTTAAAAAATTCCTTTTGTTTTTAATTATAATCACATCTTTTTTAGAAGAAGACCAATAGAGAGGGTAGCTTTTATCTGTCAGTTTCTCCACTGAGTTATACCATATCATGCTTTCAGGACATACATTTATTGTCCAAATATGTGTCTTACTAGTTGATATAGATTGAAGTCAAAGTAAATCTTTATCATTCTACTGGGTGTTGGGGGGGTTCTTTTAAAATCATACTTTTCAATTTACTTGGAGCCTCTTTGGCTACATCTCCTGCTGTTACATTAGCAAAAGTCCATAGAGAGTGGAATTTCTCAAAATATAGACAGTTTT